CTGATTCTTTTTTATGCTTGCTGAAATCCATTCTTGAGCCCCTCTAATAAAATTTTTGTTTCAATTGTACTTTCAATTCTAGAATTTCTATTTGGTTCTTTTAAAAAATAATTTCTATCTCTTTATTTGTATTCTCTAGTATCAATTTCATACTTTCCTTTAATTCTTTAGATGTGGTTTGCTATAGCTCTTTAGATGTGTAAAATAATTGATTTAAAGTCTTTTTCAAGTAAATCCAATATGTGGGCTTCCTCAGGAACAGTTTCTGTTGTTTTTTCCTCACTGTGAATGGGCCAAAACATCTTTCTTTGAATTTCTTGTAATTTTTTTTCTGAAAACTGGATGTTTTAAATAATATAATGAGACAACTCTGGAAATTAGATTCCAAACCCCCTCCTGCAATTTGTTGTTGTTATCGTTCAGTGCTTAGTGACCTTTCTGAACTAATTGTGCAGTCTGTTTTCTTTGTTCTGTGTGACCACTGATGTTATACTCAGTTAGCTTAGTGGTCAGCCAATGATTAGACAGAGATTTCTTTAAATGCCTAGAACAAACATGACTCTAAGCTATGCCAAGGAACTCCGTATTCTGTGTGTGTGTCGGGGCTCCCCGCCAACACTCAGCCAAGTGGTTACATCCCTACCTTAGCCTTCACTTCCTGCTTGCTCAGAGCCTCAAGGTCAGTCAGAGGTGAAAGCTTTGAGCCTTCACAGATCTTTTTTTTTTCTTTTTCTTTTTTTGAGGCAGAGTCTAGCTCTGTCTCTGGCCCAGTGGCATCATCATAGCTCGCAGCAACCTCAAACTCCTGGGCTCAAGAGATCCTCCTGCTTCAGCCTCCTGAGCAGCTGGGACCACACCTGGCTAATTTTTCTGTTTTTGTAGAGACTGGATCACGCTCTTGCTCAGGCTGGTCTTGGTCTCCTGGCCTCAAGGGATCCTCCCACCTTGGCCTCCCGAAGTGCTAGGATTACAGGCGTGAGCCACTGTGCGTGGCCAGGTCTTTAATGAGCAAGCACACAGCCCTACATGTGGGAGTAGCCTTATAGATTCCTGGGAATATGTTAGAATTTTCAGAGCCCCTATGGATTCCCATTACCCAGTTTCTCCTTTCAGGCTTTTAGTTACTCTATTGTTTGCCCAAGCTGTTATCTACCGCCTCATGCAGACACCACCTTAAACAATGGCTTCTATTAATAAATGTTTTTGACAAATGGACCTAAGGAAAGAGCTTTTTTGCACCGAGGAGCTCCTAGTCAGGACAAATAAAGACATCCTGGCAGTGGGGTCTTCCTGGAAACCACAAGCCAGGTTAAATAATGACAGTTCTCCGGGAATGAGGCTTTGAAAGAATGCCAACCCTGCTCTGTCGGTTTTCACTGCAATTATGGGCTGTTAGTTTTCAAGGTTGCAGTGGAGCCAGCAGTGAGGAGATGAGAATAAATACAGCAAGTTAAAAACACCAGGAAGCTTGCTGTTCTTAGGAAGATTTTGTTCGCTTCATTTTAATGTGCTTTAAAAATTTTTTTTTGACTTTTGGAGACAGGGTCTCCTTCTGTTCCCCAGGCTGGCAGGCAGTGGCCTGATCATAGCTCACTGTAACTTCAAGCTCTTGAGCTCAAGTGATCCTCCTGCCTCAGGCCTCCAAGTATCTAGGGCTACAAGTACTCGCCACCACGCCTGGCTGATTTTTTAATTTTTTGTAGAGATTGAATCTTGTTGTGGTGCCCAGGTTGGTTTCGAACTCCTGGGCTCAAGGATATCCTCCCACCTTGACCTCCTAAAGTGCTGGGATTACAGGCATGAGCCACCATGCCTGACCATTTTTTTCCCCCAATTTTATTGTTTCTGAGGCTATCAAGTGCAGTACTGTGTTTCCCCTAAAATAAGACAGGGTCTTATATTTATTTTTCCTCAAGAAGACACCCTAGGGCTTATTTTCAGGGGATGTGTTATTTTTTTTTTAAGTATGGTACAACAATCTATATTTATTCGAATATACTTAAGTCGTCTTCTTCTGGAACATCATCATAACTCTCCAAACCCCGAATTCCATCCTGAATTTCTTGCAACTCTATTTCCTTTAGAACCATTGGCCCCACTCTCTCATGTCGAGCACTAGAGCTCTCATGGGGCAGATGAGAAGGGCTGCTCGTCTTCTTTACCGCTCCACGATGAAATGCATGGGTTGTGCAGATACGCTGCATAGCAGGCCCATCGCTAGGTCTTATTTTCTGGGTAGGGCTTATATTGCGCAAATGCTTAGAAATCCTGCTAGCGCTTATTTTATGGGTAGGTCTTATTTTAGGGGAAACACGGTAGGGAGAAGGGGAGAAAAGATAGAACAAGGATTCAATCTGTACCTGACTGTGAACCATCTGTTGAGATTAACTCACTACTTCGGACCAGCCTGGTTTTTATTTATTTTGAATAAATTCTCCCTAGATTGCTACAAGCTTTCAGTTAACTCCCAGAGTTCTGGAAGAGTTGATTCTTGTTGTCATTGTTGTTTATTTCTTGGTTTTTTCATTGCTTTTATGAAGGAGAGAATTTGGGGGGATCCTAACTCCACCATTTTTGTTGACATCACTCTATTGCTTTTGTTTTTTAACTGACATTAAAATATTCACACAAAATCTATTGCTCTTTATAACACGTTTAGAGTTTGCCTGAGGTTGAGTTCACTGCCCTCATTGCACAACACCCACACACAGTAAAGAGAAAACACCCACACACAGTAAAAAGAAAACCAGAGATGAAAGGAAGTGCTTATGTATAACAGCAGCCTGCAGAGTGAAGCCAGGGGGTGAGCACAGTGCTTTTCCAGCTTTCTGTGGAGTAGACCAGAGAGTCCCAGCCAGTGTGTTTGTTTATCTAATTCATCGGGGCATGTGGTCCTGCCCGTGGCTAGTTTACATGTAACTTGCTGCGCAAGTTCAACAACCCACGCTGTCTGTACCCGGCTCAACAAGAATCATCCCTGATCCCTCTCGGGGAGGTCTGGGCAAAGTCAAATTGCTGTGAGTCTCCAAACCCTCTCAGTTATCAAGTGGTAACAAAGTTCCCAAACCAGCAAACTTTGAGTAGCACTTCCTAGGAAGTTATCTTGAATAAGTTATCCTGAATAACCTTCCATGACCTCATTTAAAAAGACATCTATATTGGTTTTTCTCTTAAATTTATGCTTCGCAGAAATATGTAACATGGAAGAGAGGATTTCCCATATCCCCACAGACACACAGAGACGGCCACCATTCATATGTGTGCGATGTATATGCTACCAGTTTTTTCTACTCTTACACAATTATGTTTGCTTTATAAAAATGAACTCATTCTACATATATATCTTGCAGCTTATTACTTTACTGTACATTTTCCTGAATGATGTATGTACATTTTCCTCATTTTTAACAGCCATGGAATATTCCATTTCATATACTATATATGCAATATTTTTTAGCCAGTCCCTGTTGGTGGCCACCTAGCATCAGGTTCCATTTTCAAGCTAAGGAATTTATAATACACTGGAAGTAACAGGTGTCAACTCCATACTGTGTGCCAAACCTAATAAGCACAATAAGTCTTGCCATCTAAGTGATTTCTGTCAGCGCTTTAGGATGTTTCCAGTCTCTTGCTGGTACAAACATTCTATAATGAATCTGTGTGTTCGCCCTTTGGGCACCTGTATGTACCTGTGCAGACCTGAAGAATAAAGTCCTGTGAGAGGAACTGCCATCCAAAGAAGGTATTTCAGTCTACACTGCCACCCACAATGTCCTCATCCTTCCGAGCTTGGATTTGGATCGGGGGATCAAAAATCATCATCAACCAAACCAAGGTACAAGGTCCGCCTCTAGCTGGACAGTAGCAAGTGTTCCAAAGCCAAGACACTGGAGATTCCTGGGCTATTCAGAAACTTGTGAGGCTAATGCTAGAAGACAGCCAGAAATATGGTGAGCACCTAACTTATTCTTTCACCAAAATACCTTTTCTTCTAACTTCTGCTGAGAACAAATTTTTGCTTCCAGCAAGATTAATAAAGGATGCCATATTTTTACAAGTCATTTCTCTTTTTTTATTCCAATTGTTTTTCTTTTCTTTATTTTTTAAAAATTTTTTGAGACTGGGGGGAGGGGGGCGGGTATATACATACATAGTGAGTGAGATGTGCACCATCTGGGGGATGGTCATGATGGAGACTCAGACTTTTGGGGGGAGGGGGGGAAATGGGCATTTATTGAAACCTTAAAATCTGTACCCCCATAATATGCCAAAATAAAAAAAATAATTAAAAAAAAAAAAGAAAAAAAAAAATTTTTTGAGACTGAGGTCTGGTTATGTTGCCTAGGCTGGTCTTGAACTCCTGTTGTGTGTTTAACTTCTAGGATAGTGACTTGCTTGTGGGAGGAAAGAGAGAAGACCAGGCATTCTTGCGCACTACCAACAAGCCTGACACAAGTCTCCAAGCGGAGATTCAACACTGGCTTCTACGACCAGTAGGCAGTGGACTCAGTTCCTCCTTGACCGGATTCTGTAACTATAAGCAGAAACTTACATGAAGCGGCTCAGTGGGAGCCTGCCGAGCTAAACTCTTATTAGGTTGATCTGTTATCCTCCCTGAGTCCTGCAAGAACATTTCAAGAAAACCCCAAAAACATGCAAGACAAATTATTGTCCTCCTTGAGGTGTCTTTAAAGCATTGGGGGGCCTGAAAGCTATTAAGATACATAGTTTCTGGGGAAACAGCCTTTTAGGACATGTAGCATAGACACTAATGATCCTTTAAGAGCTCCTTACTGATGAGAAATCTTAGAATGCGAGAGTGAAGCATCCGATAGGTTCAGGGGAACCTATCCACCCTGCAGCAGGTGTCTTGTTCTGGCGTCCACCCGGCAGAGGAGAAACCGGGGACATGCATGGTGTTCTCAGTGAAAAATACTTGGCTTAGCATTTTTATCCAAATAGAAATAAATCCAGGACTCAGTGTACACATTTGAGGGTTTTTATTGAGATTCGGGAAGGGTTGATGGTGGTGGCAGCTGTGCTCACTGTCCCAGCTTGCCTAGGCCCTCCGCTGCATGGGTGACGGCATTAGTGACTGTGTTGGTCACTGTCTCAGTGAACTCCTTCACCACTTTGTCCCCTGACTCCTGGGCCTTCTTTAAGGCATCGCCAATAGCTGTTGGGAAGAAAGAGGAAGAATGTCTGGTGAGCCATGCACTGAGCTAGCGTCCCCTGGAGTGGCTGTGGGATGAGGCTGTCTTATTGGACAGGTCCCTGGAGCAGCCCAGTGGGACCGAGGGTGGCAGGGCTCCTAGCGGAATGAATTCAGATCTGGTCTACTCGCCCACAACTTGCATTTCTGCAGTGGAGTGAGACAGAGCACCTGCTCATGGGTGTATTAAATACTCATCCTTCATCTTTCTGCAAACTGCCTGCTTGAATCTTTTGGCCATTTTTATATTGCGTTGTTACATTGGATTATCATTTTTATTATAAATATTTTTCATCAGTTTGTCATTTTTGTTTGGATTGGTTTATAGTTTGTTGGGGTATTTTTTACTAAGGAAAATTTTGAAGTTTTGTATTGTCAAATTGACCTAATATTTTCTTATGGCTGCTGGAATTTCTGCTGTAGTTGAAAAGATCCTCCCGTCCCTGAGATTGCATCATAGTCTCCTGTGCTGTCACTATGGTCTGACGGGTTTGTGTTCCCCCAAGCTCACATGTCAAAATCCTCACCCCTAATAGGATGGTATTCAGAGGCTGGAATTAGCGCCCTTATGAAAGGGACCACAGAGAGCCAGCTGGCTCCTTCCATGCGAGGACATTGCTGGAAGTTGCCATCTGGGAACCAGAAGGGGCCGTATCAGACACCCGCCTTACTCTTGGACATCCCAGCCTCTAGAACTATGGGAAATAAACGTCTGTTGTTTATAAGCCACCCAGTTCATGGTATTTCTTTATAGCAGCCTGACTTAACACAACTGTCATCTAACAATTTAATAAATTCATGCATTTAAATCTAAGTCCTTGATCCATCTGGAATCTATTTTGTAGGAAAGGAATGAGGCATACATAAACTGTTTACATAGTCCTATTCACAGCACACGTACACACATAATCTTTATATAAATATGTATTTACATAAACATACAATTTTATATCTTAAATGTTTTGTCCCAGCACACTATCACATAGTCTTGTGACCTTGTCTTCTTAAGACAGAGAGGACTAACTGGATGGAGCCCTAACGCAGAGCGGATTCTGTGGCCGCAGAGGCGCATGGATTATAGCACACCAGCTGAAAGGATGCAGCAGCAGGGCAGAGATTGACCTGCTTAGTCAAAGAAGGGGTTGGCCCTAGCACCCAGCTTCCCTGCCTCCCCTCCCCCCCCCCCCCCCCGCCTCCCTCCCGCCTTACCTTTCTCCCCAACCTCCTTGGCATGGTCCACCACCTCCTTCACCACTTCCTCCACGGCATGAACTGAAAAGAGACAAGTCCAGAGTGAGGGCACCTGCAGGCCTGTGGGCCTAGGTGCCTCTGGCCATCCAGGGTGGGGCTCCGGGATGCTGTCCCCAGCCAGGATGGGCTGGTTCACGGGAAGGACTCCCAGCCGGCTTCCTTCAGAGATGCTGGGAGACAGCTGAGTGAGCCCAGCTAGGGCATGGGGCCCTGCCCCTGCCTGGTGGGCCTGGAATGCCCACGAGCTGGCCCTCCTGCCAGCTGGGGCCCGGAGCCCAGGCCAGGCCTGTTTGCCCCGTCACAGCCCAGCAGGATGTGCCGGCTATTCTGCCTAGGGTCAAATCCTGAAGCCTTTAAGTCCCCCAAGGCAATTCCTCCAATAAGAGGGATTTCTCTGCCCTCCTCCGGTTGTGTAAGGTGTGGGTGGGAGCCTGCTGGATCAGAAAGATTTCGGAGTCAGAAGAACTGGTTCTAATTCTTACTCCACCCTCCACTGCTTGGTTCCCTCATCTACAAAATGGAAATGGTGCAAAGCTAGAGGGCTGGTGAAACATTAAAGGGGTGGTCAACACCAGCTGCAAAGTCACAAATGAAGTAAGGACATGTCTGCAGCCGTTAACTCCAGCAGGAACTTCTTCCCAGTAACGCCCGACAGGAGAGCAAGCCTTCCCGCAGGCAGCGCGCACCTCTGCATGCGAAATGGGTTTCCAGGGACTTGGGAGACATTGAAAATGGCCTTTTTGACTTTGAACAGAATCAGACTTAGCGGCTTTTTTTTTTTTTTGAGACAGAGTCTCACTCTGTTGCTCAGGCTAGAGTGAGTGCCGTGGCGTCAGCCTAGCTCACAGCAACCTCAAACTCCTGGGCTCAAATGATCCTCCTGCCTCAGCCTCCCGAGTAGCTGGGACTACAGGCATGCACCACCATGCCCGGCTTTTTCTATGTATTTTTAGTTGGCCAATTAATGTCTTTCTATTTTAGTAGAGATGGGGTCTCGCTCTTGTTCAGGCTGGTTTTGAACTCCTGAACTTGCGTGATCCGCCCGCCTCGACCTCCCAGAGTGCTAGGGATTACAGGCGTGAGCCACCACGCTCAGCCTTAGTGGCTTCTTAATGAAGAAATATTTGATGGGAGGCCGAGGCGGGCAGATTGCTCAAGGTCAGGAGTTCAAAACCAGCCTGAGTAAGACCCCGTCTCTACTATAAAAAATAGAGGCCGGGCGCGGTGGCTCACGCCTGTAATCCTAGCACTTTGGGAGGCCGAGGCGGGCGGATTGCTCGAGGTCAGGAGTTCGAAACCAGCCTGAGCGAGACCCTGTCTCTACCAAAAATAGAAATAAATTAATTGACCAACTAAAAATATATATACAAAAAATGAGCCGGGCATGGTGGCGCATGCCTGTAGTCCCAGCTACTCGGGAGGCTGAGGCAATAGGATCGCTGAGCCCCGGAGATTGAGGTTGCTGTGAGCCAGGCTGACGCCACGGCACTCACTCTAGCCTGGGCAACAAAGTGAGACTCTGTCTCAAAAAAAAAAAAAAAAAGAAAGAAAGAAATTAATTGGCCAACTAATATATATATATATATATAAATATATAAAATTAGCCTGGCATGGTGGCGCGTACCTGTAGTCCCAGCTACTCGGGAGGCTGAGGCAGTAGGATTGCTTGAGCCCAGGAGTTTGAGGTTGCTGTGAGCTAGGCTGACGCCACGGCACTCACTCTAGCCTGGGCAACAAAGCGAGACTCTGTCTCAAAAAAATATATATATATTTGAAACTTTAACGTATAGTAAAAATAAATAGGCCGGGCGCAGTGGCTCACGCCTGTAATGCTAACACTCTGGGAGGCCGAAGCGGGCGGATTGCTCGAGGTCAGGAGTTCGAAACCAGCCTGAGCAAGAGCGAGACCCCGTCTCTACTATAAATAGAAAGAAATTAACCAGCGCATGCCTGTAGTCCCAGCTACTCGGGAGGCTGAGGCAGCAGGATTGCTTGAGCCCAGGAGTTTGAGGTTGCTGTGAGCTAGGCTGATGTCAAGGCACTGTAGCCTGGGCAACAGAGTGAGACTCTGTCTCTAAATAAATAAATAAATATCCATCTTCCTTTTTCAGCATAGGCTATTCAGGAGAGGCTGTTTTGACACAGAAGAGCTCCCCAGGTCTCCAGAGGGGAGACCCCAAGCTGCCAGCTGCTCACCCAGGATTTAGGTTGCCCCCTGTCCCCGGGAGCCTCCTCTGGGCTGGCCCCACCTGGGCCTCAGCCACAGACCCCAGGGGCAGGCTGAGCCTCAGTCACAGCACCCGCTTCACGCTGAGCTGCCCTCCTGGCTTTCGCCCCAGCCACATCCTGTCCCGTGGGGCAGGTAGGCAGAGTTCCCCACGGGGCCAAGGCCCTCTCCTGCCTGCTGGGATCAGCTTCCGACGGGCCCAGGTGGAAAAGAGCGCCAGGATCCTTACCGGCTCCCTCAGTGGCCTTCTCAGTGCGATGGGCCAGGCCCTCAGCGGCAAGTTTCCCCAGTCCTCCGAGCATCGTGCGGCAGCTGGCGGTAGCCAAGTAGTATGCCGGCGACTGGTCCAACGTGCTTTTATAGACGCCTCTGCTGCCTCTCTGGGTTCTGGGGCACCAAGCCCCCGCCCCAACCCAGTAGGAGGCTGGGCAGGTGAGTCAGCAAAGGCGGTGGCAGCAGGAAGAGGCTGGGCGGAGCCGCCCCAGCGGTGGGGTGGCAGCATGGGATCCCCGCACCCCATGTCCTAGGGACCCTGTGAAGGACAGGGACAGGGAGCAGGGCTGAGGCTGGACAGGAGAGGCCAGCTCTGGACATGCCCCTCCCCCAAGGCAGGGGTCCTGAGTGCTCTGGTGGATGAGAGCACTTGGGGACAGTAGCCCTGCCAGTCCTCTGGGTCCTAAGGTCCCCAAGCCTGGGCACTAGTGTGTACCTGGTGATGAGGCCTGGGACTTCCAGCCTGCTGCTCAGGTCCCCAGTATGGCCTAGTCAGGGAGTTGGAGGTCCTATGGGGCTGGGCGCCTGGGCAGCACCAGTGCCCAGGAGCACAAGTGGGGGGGGCATGATTCCCCAGTTGCCAAGGACCCTGGCCCTGCAGAGCAGCTTTGCCGCGTTGGTGGGCAGGTGGGGTGCTCAGGGTAGTGCCTTGCCCAGGGCAGATGAGGACACAGCAATGACCAGAAGTGTAGTCACCCTGGCTTGCCGGTCAGCTGATTCTCACCCAAGCACGTGAGTGGCCCAGTGCCGGGGCAGCTGGCAAATGAGGGAACCCAATCTTCTCTGTGCCTTGGGGCCCAGCCTCTCAGGGAGGCTCTGTGAGGTCAGCAGTGTTCCCCCCCCCCCCGCCAGGGGTCCTGGAGGAGTAGACAGAGGATGCTACCACCACTCAGGGAGGTGCTTCTGGCCCTAGCTGGAAGTTCCCGGAAAGCAGCTTCACCGGCTCCCAGCACATCACGTTCGCAGGGAACCAGGCTGCTCCCTAGTTACTCAGAATGGACAGAGATGCCTCAAGCCACCTGCCACATACTGCGTCCCTTAGTCACTAGCCAAACCTGAGCCTCAGTTTCCTCATCTATAAAATGGGGACAACCATCCATGACTTCTTGGCTATGTCACTTGCATGCTGTGGGTGGGACAAAGCATGCAATCTCTTAATAGACACCTGTTCCCTTGTCCTTGTCACTGAGGTGCTAGGGAAGTGTCTCTTGGCAGTGAGCCCCAAACAACCAGTAGGGTGGGCCAGGAGGTGGCTGGGGCATGAGACTGCCTTGGAGCCAGAGGGCTGGGGGAAGTGACCCCTGCTGGCCAGGATTTGAGGTGAGAAGGCCCAGGCCTGGGGCAGGAGTCTGAGGCCACCTCCCTCCATGCAGCCTCCCTCATCCCTCGGAGCTGCCATCCTGGGTGTGGCAGGGCCTGATTAGTGTTTACCTGACTGAGGGCCGCGTCAGCCTGGGCCCCAGGAGCTGAGGCCCTCTCACATTCCCATGTGGTGCTGGGGGCTCTGGGGCTGTGGCTGGGACCCTGGGGTGGGCAATGGGTACAGCAGGACCTCTGGGTCACAGGCCACAGGGCCATCTCCTTTGGACAGGGGTGGATCAGGGTGTGAACACTTTGGAGAGGGCCTCCAAGAAAAAGAATATAATAATTGACTCTTATATGCTTTACAAATATTTATATGTAAGATCCTATGGACCCAGAAAGGGCCATGAAATTGGGGTGCCCTGGAGCTCAAGCAGGTCCAGACAACTCTGTCCCTCATTACAGCCAAATTTCAGAGTGTTCCACCCAGGGCATCAGGCCAGCACTGCAGGGGGCGGGGGGTGCTTCTGGGACATGGTTGGTGGGAACTGGGCTGAGGGACCCCCTGGACCTGTCAAACTCCTTCTCTGTTTCCTCTGCTGCTGCATGTGTTCCCCCCACCCCCACAGGGGCCCTCCCTGTACCTGTTCCCCTGACAGACGTCACCTACTACCTCTGGGATGGCTTCCAGACCCTGCAGGCTCCTTCCCGCGAGCCCCCACCCTGGGGTGTCCTTCCTAGTTCCCTCTCTCAGGGGCTCAGCAGCCCCAGACAGGCCCTCGTCAGGACTTGGCGACTCAGCAAGACTCTGGCCCAGTGCCCAGTCCAGAGCCTGGCTCCCCACAGCCTCAGGGTACCATGCCCTTTGCCCCCTCCACACCGTCCCCTCCCCTGACACCCTGCCCTTCTTTAACACGCTGCCTTGGGTGAGCGCCATGCCTCCAATGAGCACACCACAGTCCCGGTCTCCTGGCAGGGCTGGGTCCCGACATGGATCCTAAATGCCTGATGGGGAGGAGGCGAGACGCCTGGGGAGGCCAGGCTGCCCGGGACCTGACTCGGGCCCCAGGTGCTTGTGCTCTAGCCCAGCTCTGGTCCCACTTGGCCTTCTAGCCCTAGCTGTGACCAGTTCCCCATCTTCCCAGCCCAACCCAACCTGTGTACCCCGGCAGGCAGACCCCTGAGGGCTGGACCCCTTTCTAGCTGAAGAGCCTGAGATAGCCCAAGACTCTCCTAACCATAGATGGATTCTGGTCTGAGGGCTGGGCTTGGTGACTCCTGCAGGGAGCAACTTCACCTGCCTGGATGAGGCTGAAGATGACTCAGGTGTGGCCTGCCCAGTGGGTGCCTACCCTCTGCCCTCCGCCCTCTGCCCTCCACCCTCCATCATCTCATCTTGGAAGAGGCCCAGCCCACACTGAAACCCAAGGGAGCCATCCCTGAACACAGGCACCCAAGTCAGCATATCCTGAGTCGGAAGGTCAAGTCCAGCCTTCCCCGCCCCCCCCCGTTGCCCCCCCCCACCGGGGAAGGGAGAATCTGGCTTTGACGGAAGCAGACCAATTCTGCAAGTGGAATTTGCCCACAACCCAGTTTGGCAAAGGGCCAGGGGCTGAGTCACCAAGTTGAGGAGAGCCTGTTTGCAGACAGCGACTTGCCAACTTAGCAATTATCATTTCCGAAAAATAAATGGTTCATTTCAGATAGTTAAAAACTTAGGGCCATCTCATTTCTGGAGCATGACGATTTCTTGTGTGAGTTAACCCGCGGACACGTCACAGGTGTCGTGAGTTTTGTGAGAGTCCCGCCTGTGCTTTCTCCCACCTCTGCTCCGTGGACTTGAGCCCACAGTGCGCTCGGTGTCCCCGATCCTGCATGAGCCGACCCTGCTCCAAAGCAAGACTTGCCCAGCAGCGTCCACAGGGTAAGCCCAGGTCCTGGAGGAAACCAGAAGACATACTCAAATGGGCACCTGAGAAAAGGGACTGTTCGCAGAGGTGTGGGCGGAGGTAAGGACACCAGTGAAGAGGGTGAAGCACCTGGGGACCAGCAATAGTGGGAGCTGCTATCTCCCTGGGTCTGGCGGGCAGTAGAGGCGTCCACAGACCCCGACGAGAGCCAGGACCCTAGGAGGGATCTCCAGGCGAGAGCCGCAGCCGCCAGCGGAGGAGCATGGCCACTGCCACACCACGCGCGGCAAGGAAGAGCTGGGGAGCAACAGCCTCTCCTCCCCTCTCCAGTCTCCAAACAGTATCCTCCCCCATTGTCTGAATCCTCCCAGGGCCAGAGGGTGAGGGAGCCCGGGGGTGCGTCCACGAGGGCACGGGCGGCGAGGAGGCAGGCGGCGAGCTGCTGTGGAGGGGCACACAGACACCCAGCTCCCGCGCCAGACTGCCGGTCCAGTGGGAACATGGCGGCAGCGTAAGTCTAAATCGTCCCATCTCTCCTTGAAACTCTACAGGGCACCAAGGAGGACAGAGAAGGAAAAGGAAAAGGATAAGGAGGAGGAGCAGGAGAAGAAGGAAGAAGGAGGAGGAGGAGGAGGAGGAAGGAAGGGAGGAGAAAGAAGAGAAGCCCACCATCAACACACACATCAGACTTAACTTCAGAGGAACTAGGAAGCTGGGAAGACATGCAAACCCAACACAGGTGACACCTGCAGGACTGACGCAGGAAGCCAGGGAAAGGCAGAAGAAAGGGCGCAGGAGGGCCCCAGTGGGCGGGGGCGGGGGTGGTGGTCTTGGCCGTTGCCAGCAGTGCTCATTCCCAGGAGGAGAGGAGCAAGGAGAGGCCCCTCGGTGTGAGAACGCAGACCTGGGGAAGTGAAGAGAGTAGGGGCAGATGGTGCCCAGGAAGTCCAGAGTGCGGCATCCCGGAGAGCACCACTTCCCCAGAGAGGAGGGAGCCCCCTGCGCCGGCTGCAGCAGCGGAAAGGACGCCGGCGCTAGAGCCTTCCAGCCGGCAGAGGGCTTGTGGCTACGCAAGTGAGTCTGACACTTTCGTGAAGGAAGGACAGGTGCTGAGGAAAGGAGCCCAGGGACCCCTCCCTTAGATTCCCACGGGGCCCCACACCCACCCAGGAATCTCTGAGGTCTGAGAAATTCCACTGCATATTTGAAAGACACCACCATGAACAGAGGGTTTCATGATTGGTAGGGCAGGTTTCTCTCTTCCAAGTCAATAGTATAGTCACCACGCATTCCTCACCCCGACTCCCTGAAAGTTCACTTCTTACATATAACCACAGCACAGAGATCAGAACCAGAAAATTGACATCAGCATATTTAACTCAATTACATTTAAAATCATTTCATGAAATAACTAAATTTTTAAATTTAAATTATTTAAATAAGTTAAAATTAACATATTAGCTAAACTAAAGACCAGTTTTTCCACTAGTGTCCCTTTTCTGCTTCAGAATCCCACCCAGGATCACACACTGCATTTAGTTGATATTTCTTCTTCATCTCCTGCAGCTTCTCAGTCTTTGCTCATCTCTTTCATGACCTCGACACCTGTAAGCAGTACTGGTCAGTACTTGTCAAACGTTCCTCCATTCAAGTTTGATGTTTTCTCATGATTGGACTAAGGTTGTGCATTTTTGGCAAGATGACCACAAAAATGATGTGTTGTCCTTCCCCGTGCACCATACAACAGGGTTATGGTGTTGATATGACTTATACTGGTAACGTTGAACTTGATCATTTGGTTTCTGCTGGGTATCTCCACTGTGACGTCACTATCTTTCCCCCTTGTAGTTAATAAACATCTTGGGAGAAATAGTTTGAGATTACGCAAAATCTGTATCTCCTGAAACTTAAAAAAAATTTATTTTTATTGTGGTAAAATATACATGACATAAAATTTACCGTCTTATCCATTTTTAAATGCATAGTTGGGTACCATAGAGCAGGCGTCCTCAAACTACGGCCCGAGGGCCATATGCAGGTGTTTTTGCCCCTTTGTTTTTTTACTTCAAAATAAGATATGTGCAGTGTGCATAGGAATTTGTTCATAGTTTTTTTTTAACTATAGTCCGGCCCTCCAACGGTCTGAGGGACAGTGAACTGGCAGTAAACTAGTCAGTAAACGTGATTCTCACAGGATTGTAGGTAAGCAATTCTGAAACAATTTTCTGCATATAGTGGAATTGAACACGTAAATTAATATACTGTAGATAGTAAGAACTGGGTTTGTCACGGTTGGAGAAAGAAATTAAAAATGAAGAATGGAGAACACTCTTCTAATACCCCATGCGGTGCTGTATTAAAATCTGAGGTATCAATGTAGACACATATTGGACTTTTTTTATTTTTTTATTTTTTTTGAGACAGAGTCTCACTCTGTTGCCCAGGCTAGAGTGCAGTGGCATCAGTCTAGCTCACAGCAACCTCAAACTCCTGGGCTCAAGCGATCCTCCTGCCTCAGCCTCCCAAGTAGCTGGGACTACAGGCATGTGCCACCATGCCCGGCTAATTTTTCCTACATATTTTTGGTTGGCTAATTAATTTCTTTCTATTTTTAGTAGAGACGGAGTTAAAAAGTTTGAAAAAGTTTAAGAAGTTTGAGGACTCCTGCCATAGAGTATATTCCCACTGTTGTGTAAACAGCAAAACTGAAACTGTTTTCATTAAACAACTTCCCGTTTTCTCCTCCCCCCACCGTCCCTGGCAACTACGATTCAACTTTCTGTTTCTGTGAGGTTGCTGACCCTAGATACTTCATATAAGTGAAATCATACGATATTCGTCTTTTTTTTTTTTTTTTTTTTTTGAGACATTTGTTGCCCAGGCTAGAGTGAGTGCTTGGCGTCAGCCTGGCTCACAGCAACCTCAATCTCGGGCTCAAGCGATTCCTCCTGCCTCAGCTCCCCGAGTAGCGGGACTACAGGCATGCACCACCACGCCAGCTGATTTTTTGTATATATATTTTAGTTGTCAATAATTTATTTCTATTTTTGGTGAGACGGGGTCTCACTCAGGCTGGTTTCGAACTCCTGACCTTGAGCAATCCGCCCGCCTCGGCCTCCCAAAGTGCTAGGATTACAGGCGTGAGCCACCGCGCCCAGCCTGATATTCATCTTTTATAACTGGCTTATTTTACATAGCACAATGTTCTCATAATGTTTATCCATGTGTAGCATGTATCAGAATTTTTTTGCCTTTTTAAGGCTGAATAACATTTCATTGCACATATGACCATACTTAGTTTATCCATTCATCTGTCAATGGACAGTCAGGTTGCGTCCATGAACATGGGTGTACAAATATTTCTTCAAGACCCTGCTTTCAATTCTTTTGGATATATACCAAGAAGTGATATTGTTGCATCATGTGGTCATTCTATTTTTAATTTTTTGAGAAATTGCCATACTGTTTTCCATAGCAGTGCACCATTTTACATTCCTACCAACAGTGGAACTAGGGTTCCAATTTCTCTACATCTCACCAACACTCGTTATGTTATTTTCTTTTATTTAAAAAAATAGCAGTCATTGTAGTTTTGCCTTGCATTTCCCTAATAATCAGAGATGTTGCGCATCTTTTCGTATGATTATCAGCCTTTTGTATATCATGTTTGGAGAAATGTCTATTTCAGTACTTTACTCATTTATTAATTGAGTTACTTTTTACATTGTTGAACTCTAGGAGTTCATTATGTATTCTGGATATTAACCTCTTATCAGATATGTTATTTGAAAATATTTTCTCCCATTCTACAGGTTGCCTTTTCACTCTGTTGATTGCGTTCTTGATGCACAGTTTTAAATTTTGATGCAATTCATTGATCTATTTTTAATTTTGTTGCCTATGTTTTTGTTGTCATATCCAAGAAATCATTGCCAAATCCAATGTCATGAAGCTTTTACCCTGTATTTTCTTCTAAGGGTTTTTACAGTGCTAGCTCTTATTTTTGTCTTTGATCCATTTTGAGTTAATTTTTGTAATGGTGTAAGGTACTGGTCCAACTTTATGCTTTTGCAGGTGTATATCCAGTTTTCCCAACACCATCTGCTGAAGATTGTCCTTTCCCAATTTAACGGTTCTGACACCCTCAGTGAAAATCATCTGATAGCTCCTCAAACTTTTGCAGATGAATTTGAGCATCTATCAGTGAACTTTATTTGCAATAATTATTTCTGTGGTTTGCCTAATGGTGATTCACTATTGCCCTCTTTCCTCCCATATTACTTAATTGGAATTCTCCCTTCTCCACATTCATTTAACCCATTATTTATTTATATTAGTATGGATTTATGAATATTAGATAGTAATCTAATACTATCATTATTTACTTTGTTGCTCAAATTATTCCAGCTTTAGCCATTAGAAGTTCCTTCAGGCCGTGCGCGGTGGCTCACGCTTGTAATCCTAGCACTCTGGGAGGCAAAGGTGGACAGATTGCTCAAGGTCAGAAGTTCGAAATCAGCCTGAGCAAGACCCCATCTCTACTAAAAATGGAAAGAAATTAATTGACCAACTAAAAATATATAGAGAAAAAATTAGCTGGCCATGGTGGCGCATGCCTATAGTCCCAGCTACTTGGGAGGCTGAGGCAGTAGGATCGCTTGAGCCCAGGAGTTTGAGGCTGCTGTGAGCTAGGCTGACGCCACGGCACTCACTCTAGCCTGGGCAACAAAGTGAGACTCTGTCTCAAAAAAAAGAAGTTCCTTCAGGTTTGCTCCTGTGTTCTTTCAACAAGCCTCTATTTTTCAAAAAATTATTTATTTTTCCTTGTTTATTTTAGTGTTTTCTGACTTTCTGGAACTCTAAGGTGTTCTGGGCTCATCTTGCATTTCCCATGCCCCAGCCCTACAATCAACCACTTCTGAGAAGCCTGGCCCCTATCATTAAAGACTGGCATTTAGACACCAAGATCTGGTGCTACATATGCTTATTATTTCTGGGTGTCATTGTGTCTAGGAACTCTCAACAGACAGAGCCAGGAAATACATGTGTGTGTTTACTAACCTATTCATATATATTTCTGTATCTATCAGTATATAAATTAAAAACCCATGTGCCAATGTGTCAGTCGGGTGTGGTGGCTCACAATGGTAATCCTAGCACTCTGGGAGGCCAAGGTGGGAAGATTGCTCAAGGTCAGAAGTTCGAAACCAGCCTGAGCAAGAGCAAGACCTGGTCTCTACTAAAAATAGAAAGAAATTAGCCAACTAAAAATATGTAGAAAAAAATTAGCCAGGTATGGTGGTACATGCCTATAGTCCCAGCTACTCGAGAGCCTGAGGCAGTAGGACCGCTTGAGCCCAGGAGTTTGAGGTTGCTGTGAGCTAAGCTGATGCCACTGCACTCTAGCCCGGGCAACAGAGTGAGACCCTGTCTCAAAAAAAAAAAAAAAAACACCAAAAAACACATGTGTCTACATTGATACCTCAGATTCTAATCCAGCGCCACATGGGGTATTGGAAGAGTGTTCCCCATTCTTCATTTTTTTTTTTTTTTTTTTTTTTTGAGACAGAGTTCTACTTTTTGCCCAGGCTAGAGTGAGTGGGTGGCATCAGCCTAGCTCACAGCAACTCAAACTCCTGGGCTCAAGGCATCCTGCCTGCCTCAGCCTCCCGAGTAGCTGGGGAACAGGCATGCACCACCATGCCTGGCTTAATTTTTTCTATATAAATTAGTTGGGCAATTAATTTCTTGCTATTTATAGTAGAGACAGGGTCTCGCTCTTGCTCAGGCTAGTTTCGAACTCCTGAGCTCAAGCAATCCGCCCGCCTCGGCCTCCCAGAGTGCTAGGATTACAGGCATGAGCCACTGCGCCCGGCCTCCCATTCTTCATTTTAATTTCTTTCTCCAACTCTGACAAACCGAGTTCTTATTATCTACAGTATATTTCTTTACATGTTCAATTCCACTATATGCAGAAAATTGTTTCAGAATTGCTTACCTACAATCCTGTGAGAATCACGTTTACTGACTAGATTACAGAATATATGTACAGTGCTTTTTGCCTTTAGCTCTACAGAATCTATTCAGTATACCATTCTCTAAGGTTACGTGGGTTTTTCTCTTTTCTTCCCCACTCCCTTCAGTGCGGTTATTTTCTTCACTTGTATTAGAGTTAGGTTCATTTATTAATGTTTCTGTTAAATTTTGGTCTCCCTACCCACACATTCTAGTTGGTTTTTTTTTTTCTGAGACAGAGTCTCACTTTGTTGTACAGACTAGAGTGAGTGCCGTGGCGTCAGCCTAGCTCACAGCAACCTCAAACTCCTGGGCTCAGCGATCTTACTGCCTCAGCCTCCCGAGTAGCTGGGACTACAGGCATGCGCCACCATGCCTGGCTAATTTTTTCTACATATATTAGTTGGCCAATTAATTTCTTTATATTTATAGTAGAGACGGGGTCTCGCTCTTGGTCAGGCTGGTTTCAAACTCCGGACCTCGAGCAATCCACCACCTCGGCCTCAGAGTGTAGGGATTTACAGGCGTGAGCCACTGCGTCCAGCCTCTAGTTGGTTTTAATTGTCTGTTTATATTTTGGGTGTGTGAACATGATTATGGTTCTGAGAGTCAGAGCTACCAAAAAGACAAACTCAGAGAAGTGTCACTCTCTTCTTGTCCCTGCTATCTGGTTCTCAGTGCCCACTTCTTTCTACCCCTTCCCCACCTTCCCACTGTAGGGAACCAATCTCTTTAGTCTCTGGCTTCTCCTTCCTGCATTTTCTTTCCACAAATAAGCAGAGATGTACTTTCTTATAGCCTCTTTCATTCTTACAGGAAGGATAGCATGCCATACATACATACTTCACTTTTTTCTAGCAGTGAAAACAAGTTTTTTTTCAAGACAGGGTCTCTCTGTCTCGCAGGCTGGGGTGCAGTGATGCAATC